GTGTTACTGGAGACTTCTGCCAGTGTGTTGCTGGAGATTTCTGCCAGTGTGTTGCTAGAAACTTCTGCCACAGTGTTGCTGGTGACTTCTGCCACAGTGTTGCTGGAGACTTCTGCCACAGTGTTGCTGGAGACTTCTGCCACAGTGTTGCTGGAGAGTTCTGCCACAATGTTGCTGGAGACTTCTGCCAGTGTGTTGCTGTGGATTTCTGCCAGTGTGTTTCTGGAGATTTCTGCCAGTGTGTTTCTTTAGACTTTTGCCAGGGTGTTGCGTGAGACTTCTGCCAGTGTGTTGCTGGAGATTTCTGCCAGTGTGTTGCTAGAAACGTCTGCCAGTGTGTTGCTGGAGACTTCTGCCACAGTGTTGCTGGAGATTTCTCCCAGCGTGTTACTGGAGACTTCTGCCAGTGTGTTGCTGGAGATTTCTGCCAGTGTGTTGCTAGAAACTTCTGCCACAGTGTTGCTGGTGACTTCTGCCACAGTGTTGCTGGAGACTTCTGCCACAGTGTTGCTGGAGACTTCTGCCACAGTGTTGCTGGAGAGTTCATGCCACAATGTTGCTGGAGACTTCTGCCAGTGTGTTGCTGTGGATTTCTGCCAGTGTGTTTCTGGAGATTTCTGCCAGTGTGTTTCTTTAGACTTTTGCCAGGGTGTTGCGTGAGACTTCTGCCAGTGTGTTGCTGGAGATTTCTGCCAGTGTGTTGCTAGAAACGTCTGCCAGTGTGTTGCTGGAGACTTCTGCCACAGTGTTGCTGGAGATTTCTCCCAGCGTGTTACTGGAGACTTCTGCCAGTGTGTTGCTGGAGATTTCTGCCTGTGTGTTGCTAGAAACTTCTGCCACAGTGTTGCTGGTGACTTCTGCCACAGTGTTGCTGGAGACTTCTGCCACAGTGTTGCTGGAGACTTCTGCCACAGTGTTGCTGGAGAGTTCCTGGGTGCCACAGTGTTGCTGGAGACTTCTCCCAGCGTGTTACTGGAACTGATGTTCAGATCGTTCCCACCAGACTTGGTAAAGACTAGAGATTAGACTTCTTGCCCGTCTTCCAACTTTGTCCCAAATTCTGATGAATGATGGGGGGCAGGAGGTCCAAGAAAGGGGTACATACTCTAGATTAGAGCGAACTTGTGGCTCATATAAGGTTTTGCAGGTCTTGCTGTCAAGAATGTGTGAGATGCACTATTTGGCTGTAAGTTGCCTGGCTGCCTTTTGAGCTAGGTTAAGCACGTGGCTCTTTATTGTCATTGAAGAGTCGAACTTCATTACCAAGATGTCAATTTCTTCTGTGAACTCTTGGATTTTGCCACGTATTTGCAAGCCTGTCCGGTTTGCTATGTGTATTCTATTTATAATCATCCCTAGTGTCTTCTAAACCGGAAATGGGATTTCCCAACACCTAGGCCAGGTGGAAATCGCTGAAAGTTGTTGATCGATTACAAAATTGATCAAGATCTTTGTAATAGACATGCCACAGCAAAGGGCCAAGCACACTACCCTGTGGAACGCTGGTACCAATTTGAATGGCTTCAGGTTCTGCTCCTTTGAGGACTATGTTGTATAGATAGTGATGGTGGAGAGTTCCCAGGACTGTGTCCTGTCTACACACCCTACTTGAGCAGGCATGACTCCCCACTCTCTCCTTGTTTGGAATGATCTCCTAAATTTCCCTTTTACGAATTAGTATTCTCTGCCACACTGTCCGCAACTGGGATCCTTTCTCTCTCTCTCTCTCCTGCTTTCTGGGAATCCTCACCTGGACAAGAGCAAAAGACAGCTAACAATATACATTTAATAAGCAAAAGAACATATACAATACACATTTAATAAGCAAAAGAACATATACATTACACTAAATTAAAAGAAATGAAAATATTAACAAAACACTAAGGTACTACAACCCTGTAGCAATCCAATATCTTATCCTGGCGTCACCTGGCGTCACCAACCGTCCATATCAAGTGGCTGCTCAACTCTTGGTTTAACACTTACTACTCCCTCACTAAGGGGGTATTTGAATGGTTTCGGAAAAGTTGTTCAATGTCAACCAATATTTGTTTACTAGTTGTATATGAAAAGGGCTGCAATACTTCCAAGTTTCAGTACTGCAGCGTAAATAGACAGGGAGATTTTATTTTTGTTATTTCTTAAACGAATTTATACATTTTCAAGTGTAAATAAACAAACATCTTTCAGATTGAATCATTCTATGACACTTTTCTGACACATTAGCATGTAATAAAGGATCTGGAGTTAAGGACTTCTGCCAATGAGTTGCTGGGGACTTCTGCCAGTGTGTTGCTGGAGACGTCTGGCACAGTGTTGCTGGAGACTTCTGCCAGTGTGTTGCTGGAGACTTCTGCCAGTGTGTTGCTGGAGACTTCTGCCAGTGTGTTGCAAGAGACTTCTGCCTCAATGTTGCTGGAGACTTCTGCCAAGGTGTTGCTAGAGACTTCTGTGAGTGTGTTGCAGGAGACTTCTGCCAGTGTGTTACTGGAGACTTCTGCCACAGTGTTGTTGGAAACTTCTGCCAGTGTGTTGCTGGAGACTTCTGCCAATGTGTTACTGGAGACTTCTGCCACAGTGTTGTTGGAGACTTCTGCCAGTGTGTTGCTGGAGACTTCTGCCAGTGTGTAACTGGAGACATCGGCCAGTGTGTTGCTGGAAACTTCTGCCAGTGTGTTGCTGGAAACTTCTGCCACATTGTAGCTGGAGACTTCTGCCAGGGTGTTGCGTAAGACTTCTGCCAGTGTATTGCTGGAGACTTCTGCCACAGTGTTTCTGGAGACTTCTTCCAGCGTGTTACTGGAGACTTCTGCCAGTGTGTTTCTGGAGACTTCTGCCACAGTGTTGCTGGAGACTTCTGCCAGTGTTGCTGGAGACTTCTGCCAGTGTGTTGCTGTTGATTTCTGCCAGTGTGTTTCTGGAGATTTCTGCCAGTGTGTTTCTTTAGACTTCTGCCAGGGTGTTGCGTGAGACTTCTGCCAGTGTGTTGCTAGAAACTTCTGCCAGTGTGTTGCTAGAAACTTCTGCCAGTGTGTTGCTGGAGACTTCTGCCAGAGTGTTGCTGGAGATTTCTCCCAGCGTGTTACTGGAGACTTCTGCCACAGTGTTGCTGGAGACTTCTGCCACAGTGTTGCTGGAGAGTTCTGCCACAGTGTTGCTGGAGACTTCTCCCAGCGTGTTACTGGAACTGATGTTCAGATCGTTCCCACCAGACTTGGTAAAGACTAGAGATTAGACTTCTTGCCCGTCTCCCAACTTTGTCCCAAATTCTGATGAATGATGGGGGGGCAGGAGGTCCAGGAAAGGGGTACATACTCTAGATTAGAGCGAACTTGTGGCTCATATAAGGTTTTGCAGGTCTTGCTGTCAAGAATGTGTGAGATGCACTATTTGGCTGTAAGTTGCCTGGCTGCCTTTTGAGCTAGGTTAAGCACGTGGCTCTTTATTGTCATTGAAGAGTCGAACTTCATTACCAAGATGTCAATTTCTTCTGTGAACTCTTGGATTTTGCCACCTATTTGCAAGCCTGTCCGGTTTGCTATGTGTATTCTATTTATAATCATCCCTTGTGTCTTCTAAACCGGAAATGGGATTTCCCAACACCTAGGCCAGGTGGAAATCGCTGAAAGTTGTTGATCGATTACAAAATTGATCAAGATCTTTGTAATAGACATGCCACAGCAAAGGGCCAAGCACACTACCCTGTGGAACGCTGGTACCAATTTGAGTGGCTTCAGGTTCTGCTCCTTTGAGGACTATGTTGTATAGATAGTGATGGTGGAGAGTTCCCAGGACTCTAACTGGTGACCATGGTGTACAGTCTGTGATAATGGAGAGTTCCTAGGACTCTAACTGGTGACCATGGTGTACAGTCTGTGATAATGGAGAGTTCCCAGGACGCTAACTGGTGACCATGGTGTACAGACAGTGATAGTGGAGAGTTCCCAGGACGCTAACTGGTGACCATGGTGTACAGTCTGTGATGGTGGAGAGTTCCCAGGACGCTAACTGGTGACCATGGTGTACAGTCTGTGATGGTGGAGAGTTCCCAGGACGCTAACTGGTGACACCGTAGTGAACAGACTTTGGTGGTGGAGAGGTAACAGGACGCTAACTGGTGATCATGGTGTACAGACTGTGATGGTGAAAAGATCCAAGGACGCTATTATCACCCCATGTTGACTGGTGAAACAAGTCTACCCAGTGAGAGTTATTCTGCTTTCCGGACGTCAAATTAAGAGGTCGGAGGAAGAAAATATATGATAAACGTCAGTGAGTAATTTAAGAATTCGAGTAGAGAACGAACATCTGATAAAAGTGACATGGAATGAGTTGTCTATATTTTGGTGACGTGACTTGATGCTAGCAAGACGTCGTGATCTTACTTGAGTTACAGCAGTCATCAGAGATGGTTGTACTTGTTGATCTCCTGGAAGGAGGAAGAATATAATGCCCTGTGTTAACGGTGAAGTGAAGGCTATGATTTTTTCAAGTGCGCAAGTGTGAGGAAGCTGTTGGGGGACATCGTGCAATATTTCTCTGCGATTTTAATATATTAGAGACTGCCTGGAAGCGAGTGTTTGGTCGCCTGTGTGGAACTCGAATTGTGTGCTCTTTCAAAAGGTAGGAAGTAAGCAGGCGTTTCTGTGTGGAGCCTGCCGGGAGACTCTGTGTACTGAAGTTAGGACTGGAGGAAGCCTTGTGAAGCAGTTCTAATGCAATTTTTGTGGACGGCTTCAGTGAGCGCCAGAGAGTGAGCACCACCATGTCAAAGATTTCTGCTGTAAGCTTGTTTAATCAGTTGTTAGATTAGCTACAAGTGTTTGGTCATGTGCCCAGCAATCATAGTGAACATATTTTCAATATAGAGTAGAGATTTTATTGAGCCAGTGAGCTAAATTAATGAGTTAAATTAGAGTTAAGAGAACATGCTGGAGGGAGGAGTGATACATCCTCTCTCGATGGAGGTCAAGGGGTGACTGAGGAGCGGAGGCCCCAAGCATCGTGACCTGGGTGGAGGCCCCAAGCATCGTGACCTGGGCGGAGGCCCCAAGCATCGTGACCTGGGCGGCGGCCCCAAGCATCGTGGCCTGTGGGGAGGCCCCAAGCATCGTGGCCTGGGCGGAGGCCCCAAGGATCGTGGCCTGTGGGGAGGCCCCAAGCATCGTGGCCTGGGCGGAGGCCCCAAGCATCGTGGCCTGTGGGGAGGCCCCAAGCATCGTGGCCTGTGGGGAGGCCCCAAGCATCGTGGCCTGGGGGGAGGCCCCAAGCATCGTGGCCTGGGCGGCGGCCCCAAGCATCGTGGCCTGTGGGGAGGCCCCAAGCATCGTGGCCTGTGGGGAGGCCCCAAGCATCGTGGCCTGGGCGGAGGCCCCAAGCATCGTGGCCTGGGCGGAGGCCCCAAGCATCGTGGCCTGGGCGGAGGCCCCAAGCATCGTGGCCTGGGCGGAGGCCCCAAGCATTGTGGCCTGGGCGGAGGCCCCAAGCATCGTGGCCTGGGCGGAGGCCCCAAGCATCGTGGCCTGTGGGGAGGCCCCAAGCATCGTGGCCTGGGCGGAGGCCCCAAGGATCGTGACCTGGGCGGAGGCCCCAAGCATCGTGGCCTGGGCGGAGGCCCCAAGCATCGTGGCCTGGGCGGAGGCCCCAAGCATCGTGGCCTGTGGGAGGCCCCAAGCATCGTGGCCTGGGCGGAGGCCCCAAGGATCGTGACCTGGGCGGAGGCCCCAAGCATCGTGGCCTGGGCGGAGGCCCCAAGCATCGTGGCCTGTGGGGAGGCCCAAGGATCGTGGCCTGGGCGGAGGCCCCAAGGATCGTGACCTGGGCGGAGGCCCCAAGCATCGTGGCCTGTGGGGAGGCCCCAAGCATCGTGGCCTGGGCGGAGGCCCCAAGGATCGTGACCTGGGCGGAGGCCCGAAGGATCGTGGCCTGGGCGGAGGCCCCAAGCATCGTGGCCTGGGCGGAGGCCCCAAGCATCGTGGCCTGGGCGGAGGCCCCAAGCATCGTGGCCTGGGCGGAGGCCCCAAGCATCGTGGCCTGGGCGGAGGCCCCAAGGATCGTGACCTGGGCGAAGGCCCCAAGCATCGTGGCCTGGGTGGAGGCCCCAAGCATCGTGGCCTGGCGGAGGCCCCAAGCATCGTGGCCTGGGCGGAGGCCCCAAGCATCGTGGCCTGGGCGGAGGCCCCAAGCATCGTGGCCTGGGCGGAGGCCCCAAGGATCGTGACCTGGGCGAAGGCCCCAAGCATCGTGGCCTGTGGGGAGACCCCAAGCATCGTGGCCTGGGGGGAGTCCCCAAGGATCGTGACCTGGGCGAAGGCCCCAAGCATCGTGGCCTGGGGGGAGTCCCCAAGGATCGTGACCTGGGCGAAGGCCCCAAGCATCGTGGCCTGGGGGGAGTCCCCAAGGATCGTGACCTGGGCGAAGGCCCCAAGCATCGTGGCCTGGGGGGAGTCCCCAAGGATCGTGGCCTGGGCGGAGGCCCCAAGCATTGTGGCCTGGGCGGAGGCCCCAAGGATCGTGGCCTGGGCGGAGGCCCCAAGGATCGTGGCCTGAGCGGAGGCCCCAAGCATCGTGGCCTGGGCGGAGGCCCCAAGGATCGTGGCCTGGGCGGAGGCCCCAAGCATCGTGGCCTGGGCGGAGGCCCCAAGGATCGTGGCCTGGGCGGAGGCCCCAAGGATCGTGGCCTGAGCGGAGGCCCCAAGCATCGTGGCCTGGGCGGAGGCCCCAAGGATCGTGGCCTGAGCGGAGGCCCCAAGCATCGTGGCCTGGGCGGAGGCCCCAAGGATCGTGGCCTGGGCGGAGGCCCCAAGGATCGTGGCCTGAGCGGAGGCCCCAAGCATCGTGGCCTGGGCGGAGGCCCCAAGCATTGTGGCCTGGGCGAAGGCCCCAAGCATCGTGGCCTGGGCGGAGATCCCAGCTGCGTGTCAAGACATGTTTCCAGCTTTTCACTGACAAGCATCGTCACTGATGTTGGAGAAGGACTTCGTTGTGCAGCAGGTTTGGGAGAACTGCAAAAGTGCCTTTCCTAATTTTGGAGGGCCTAGATATATGCATTAGTAGTGAGCATCGAAGAGCAAAACAGAGGATTATGTAGACAAATTAATGTATGAGGGAAGTGCTTTAATTCATATTGGCATAAAAAACGGAGTCTAAGATGAGACTGCAAAACTGTAAGATTTATTCTTCAACCATAAAAGTATATGAAACTGTTAGAGTTTCATATACTTTTATGGTTGCAAATACATTATTGTTGTGCCAGGTATTTCAACCCCAAGCAGTGAGGGAGGTAGTTGGTTGTGAGCCAAGAGTTGTGCAGTCACCTGATATAGATAGTTGGTGAAGCCATGATATGATATTGGACTGCTACTGGGTTGTAGCAGCTTAGAGTGTTGCACGGTACTATTGTATATTATATTTTTTTATTATGTATGTTTTAAGTATTAAATGTTTTATATGTTAGCTGGTTTTTGCTCCTGTCCTGGTGAGGTTTCCCGGAAAGCAAGAGAGAGAGATAGACAGGGTCACGGCTGTGGATAGGGTGACAGTAATCACTAATTCACGAAAAGGTGATTCAGGATACCATTCAAACAAGAAGGAATTGGGTAGACTCTGTCCTCCTGTGCACAAGTAACAGTCTGGTGCAACAACCAGAGCTCCTTTTTGGGTTTAAATCCCCAGCTCATTCCTGACATACGAACAATAAATGGTGACCATGGTGAACAGACTTTGGTGTTGGAGAGCTCCCAGGACGCTAACTGGTGACCATGGTGAACAGATTGTGGTGGTGGAGAATTCCCAGGACGCTACCTGGTGACAGTCATTCAGAGACTGTGATGGTTGCGAGTTCGTAGGCCGCTAACTGGTGATCTTGGTGTTCAATCTATGTTAGTGGAGAGTTCCCAGGACGTTAACTGTTGACCATGGTGTATATACTGTGATGGTGGAGAATTCCCAGGACTCTTAACTAGTGACTAAGCTGTCGTGCCCTCATGCTCCATTGCATCGCTGGTGATAATAATGTGGTCAAAATCTCAGTAAGACAACCTGGCATTCATATCAAGTCTAGGGGAAATAAGGAAAATCACTAAAAATAACCAGTTTACTGGGGATTATAAAATAAGGCACCGGAAATAACAAAAAGAAACGACTAAGTTCTCTACAACTGACGCTATTTCACATCAATAAAGCTTTACTCAAAACTCTTAGAGTTCATTAGTCATGATGCATTGTACTGCACACCCTTTGAGCTACCTGTCACAAGGCTCTATCCTAGTGCAGTGGTACATTAACTCTAGCATGCTACAAATCAAAGCATTGTACATAATTACAGATTGGTGGTGTCACAAAATATTACTAGTGGGGTAAGGATGCACACCCCTCTGCTTCCTCATACACACACACTGAATACTCCCCACTGTATTGATGTGTCATGGACTGATCCATGATACATCAATACAGGAACATTCTGTATGGTACAAAGGTCATCAGACTGAATAAATGCCACCCAAATGAGAGCAAGCCACAGCGCAGCTGACTGCTCTGTATGCTCACCTAGTAGAGAGCTCACAGGAGGCGGGAGAGACTCGAGAGACGCTTTATCCAACTGTGCAATATACCGGTCACTACTCATTCAAATATCTCTATTTCAAAACATGACATTTACAAGCAATAATTCCTTAAACATGCATATAAATAATACATTATGGTTCAATACTTTTCCCAAGAGAGTAACAAATCATTATGTCACACACACAAGCGGTAATATATTTATATTTATATATATTATATTTATATAATATATACAAAGATCAAACAAATAGTTCACATCTACGAGACATGGCATCACTGACTGGACCTGTATGCAAGGGGGAGGGGGGACGGAGGGTTAAGGGAGGATTCTAGAACTATACCGGTCAAGCTCTAATACATCATTATACATTAATACTGTACAAGTATAATATATACAGCTTAGCAACATCACTCCCTATTGGAATATGATATCACAAACCAACGAACGAACGATATACAGGAGAAGATGCCTATGGGGCGAGCCTTGAAGTGGGGACAGCTGAAGAGATGTCGGTGAGAGGAAACGGTGAAGTTGAAGAGAAAGTGCCAGGGCTTGACCCAGCAGCGTGTCAATATGTCGATGCTGCAAACAACCCAACATCTGGCTAGGCTAGGAGACGGGTCTGGAAGGTGGCAGTGGCAGTGCTTCTTCATTCAAGGTAGAAACAATCTGTCTTCCAATGGTGTCTTCTTTCTTCTTTCTTCTACTAAATTTTCTTGCTTCTTGCTTCTATATTGAGCTTCTTCTTTTCTATTTGTTCATGTTTCGTGTAGTCATTTGATGTTTCTTGTACTCTCAGTAGTCACTGAAAAAGAGTTCGGGTGTCAGTGTAGACTCATTGCACTGTGTGAAGATTATTTCATTATCGAGAGTGAAACCATTTCCTGGGTGTCTCTGACATAATTCTATGTCTCGTGTTATACAGTTGGCTGGAGATCCGTCTGTATTCGGGAGATCCGAATGCTTTGGTGTCACGTTGTAGCACTAATGCCTCTATTGCTGGAGAATCAGGTTCATCGTCATCCAGGATCGGGAATTGTGGAAGTCCTGTAACGTCGATAGAGGTAGTAGAGTCGTAATCAGGAGACAGGTGGAGGTCTGCAGAAGCAACAGGTTGTGGTGACGATAAAGCTGGTATAGTCACAAGTTCAACTGGAGTAGTAGATGGTTGGTCTTGGGTGGCAGTGCGCAAAGATGTTGCAGGAGCTGTAGCAGGATGCATGGGGAGGGCGTCACCATACAGGATATCTGTCAATGCAGTTGAAGAGATTGTGATGTCAAGGGCAGTAGTAGTATTTGTTGCTGAAGTCGTAGCACTGGTGTTGGCTGAGGCTGTGGGTTTGAAGAGTTCTTCAGGAACAGTAAATGTTGGTAGACCATTGTCAGCGTACAAGTTTAGAATTCGTACAAATTCCTTGGTGTTTGTGCCTGCAATCCTTTCAGCAGTGCGGATGAGTCCCATTAT